GGCCTTTTTTAGTTCACGCTCGGCCTCCTCCGCGTGAGCTTCTAAGTTTCTTATGCACTCATTCTTCTGCTCTATCTCCCGCCGCGCGGCACGTAGACGCATGCCGACTTCATAGGCGATATATAGCCCTTTCACTGCTCTATGGATACCCTCCTAAAACACTTCGAAATCCTGTCGACTGACCATCGACTGCTGGACTTCTGGTAGAAAAATCTATCAAGCGAACTCGACTGCCACATTTGGGTCATGAACAATTGAATCCGCTTCCGTCATCGGTTTACTCTCCACAAAAACTGCAAAACTCAACGGGCGCAATGTCACTCCGGATTCACCTCTCGGTCGCGGTCGAGGGGAGTTTCTCCGTTGTTGTTTTTCCCTTCTGGGAGACCTACTTCGACGGCGTGGGGACTGACGTTTTTCCCACTCTCTCGATGTCCTGCTTCCCATGCGCAGGGGCTCGTTACTTCGATTCACCTCTCTACCCAGCTCAGCCAATGTCCTCCATTCTCCTTTGCTGTTGAAGAATAGTCTACTTGACATTCGCACTTGTCTAACCTTCCTCAACAGACTGGTTTGAGTAGTCTGAGCACACTAATGGGACCTACGCGCACGAAACACACCCCATTATTCCTTACGGGTGCAACACCCCCGAGGTGGTCTCATTAATGCTAAACTTCAAAAGCCTCATGCCAGATAATCGGCCGAATATCTAAGCCTGGCGTCGATCTACTCATGTGCCGCAGCCACTCCATGAACTAATAGCATTCAGCATTCCAGTTCATGCATTGGCTGGGGCAAGGGCAGATTAATTAATCCAATCAACCGAATATCTAAGCCCAGCGCCGATCTACTCATATGCCGCAGCCACTCCATGAACTAATAACATTCCTACGCGCACAAAGCACTCACCCCATTTATTCCTTACGGGTGCAACACGCCCAAGGTGATCTCATTAATGATAAACACCAAAAGCCTTATGCCATGAACTAAAAGTATCTGGCATCCCTGTTCAAGCAATGGCTGGGGCAAAGGCAGATTCAGTAATCTAATCGGCCAAATATCTAAGTCTGGCGCTGATCTACTCATGTGCCATAGCCACTCCATGAACTAATAGCATTCGACATTCCAGTTCATGCATTGGCTGAGGCAAGGGCAGATTCATTAATCTAATCGGCCATGCGACAAGGTCCTAAGCCGATTTACTTGTTCGGCTAGATTAAGGTTAAATTAATTGCCAAGTTACACTATTATCTAATCGGCAGCTATGCAATGGGATATTTAATTTACTCATCTCATGATCCTACTTTCTATCGAATCGATAGTTAGCATGCACAACAGACAGTAATCATTTTATCCAAAATAGTGAAAAGCAAACTCTTCATTAATATCAAAAATTGCATACAGCTAATAGTGAAATGAAAAGGAAATTTTCATTAATAAACTGAGCGTAGATAGTAGCTAATTTATACATGAAAATTACCTTGACCTAACAGAAATCTGCTAAACAAAAATTACAATTGTACGTGAAAGATGCCTAACAAAAATTAGAATATCACCCAAGTCAATCTTTAGGGTCAGACTCTAGCAGCTCAACATCCACCTGCTCGAACGGAATCAGCAGGGTGAATGTCACATTTGCAATAGCAAGGGCTTTAAGCCAGCCGTGTTTGAAGCCCCGATTCTCGAACTTTGGGACTTCCTCCACATAGTTCTCCAATGCGGCATCCTACCCAGCCTGGAATGCTTTGGCACACTCGGAGTCGGCTTGCTCCTTTGCCTTCTTCGATTCTACGAAGACAGCTTCCAGCTTGGCAATCACCTTCTTGGCTAACTTGAGTGCATCCTCGCTCACATTTTCCCTCTCATCGGCGGCCAATCTGAGCTGGTCAGAACCCCGCGCCTTTTCGGCCTCGACTTCGGCCCTCAAACTTTCCTCCGCAGCTCTCGCCGCCTCGCGCTCGGCCCTTTGAGCGGCTTCCACAGCCTTGTCCTTCTCGCTTTCAATCTCCATCTTCAGAAAGGCAATCTGTTCAATAGCATCATGTCGACGGCGGCCTATCTCGGCTATCTTTCCCACCGCCTGCAAAATAGGGAATTAGAATAAAAACATAGTAATAATAATATAGGCGGAAGGCGATAGATAAGGATCAAGTCATGTACCAGTAGGGCTGACTGAGCGGCTAATGCTATCGTTAGCAAGTCAGGTTCCGTCTGAAAAGTTGCCCTATCAGCCGGCAGTGAAATAGAGGAGGCCATACTCAAGGCCATGGCCGGATCTTTAAGAGCCAATGCATCAGAGGAAATTGACACGTTTTTTATCCTTGGTTAAACCACAAATGGCACAATTGAGTCAGACTCCTCTATGCGCAGTCGTTCGTCCACAATCAAGGCTGACTCTTTCATACGCAACTGTTTGTCGGTTACGAATCCCTCGAATCCGACTTCGCTCTCAGCAGGACGCTTTTCCCCCCTCTGATCGCTACCTTGACTCATTCGTTCGACTGGCCTCTCCGACTTGGCAGTCTCAATTTGAGCCGTTTTTTTCACAACAACTGGTGGAGAAGACTCAGTCATGGCAGCAGGTTCAAAACAGAAGGTCTCGGCCCTCCTCCTAGACGGCCATCCGTTCGGCGTTTTTATTCTTGGCAAGTTGCGTGAGTGATAACCCAACCATATCTTCAGGGTACGCGCTGGGAAGGTCCCCTAAGTCTGTAAAGATGTCTTTGAAGACGTCCCCTCGAGCGGAGGTGGACAGAGGGTTGGATGAATTGAGGCCAGCTTTCTCAAAGGCCAACTTCAAAGCCTCGTCTACGTTGACTTTAGACTAGCTTGACTCCTCAGCGACCTTTTCGGCTACTTCCACCTGCTCCGAATCGGATGCCTCTAAACCAACTTGCCTCAAGTTTTTGAAGTTAGTTAAGATAAGGGCTGTAAGATACTCTTCGCCCCTTGGAACTGGAAAGTTGTCCGCCGCCGAAAACGTCGTATACGTCGACTCGTATCGAAAAAGAACGTGGGCCGACCTCCCTTGTTTTTGAAGGCTTGAACGGCCGATGTATTGGAGCGCGACTTTGATTTCCGCAAGAACGGAATCGTCGGTTGAAACCAAAACTTTCTTCAAATCGTTTCCTGTACAAGTAAAACCATAAGACCACGAAAATAAAGCTGAATACATATAAGGAAAATAAACGCAAGGAGCTATATGGCCACCTAGTTCACCTCTCCGTCTAGGAATAGGATCTAGACGGTCTTCGCCTTCGCCGAATTCCCAGTTACCTCGGACAACGACCATAACATCATCAACTCGCTTGCCAAAGCTGGCAAGCATAGTCACCAATTGACAATCGGTGTCCTTGACCCTAAGGAAATAGCACCCATATCGGCCAGAAGACTTGGCCAAGGCATAACAATGCCGAATAACAGGTATGCCGAGATTGATCCTAAGGCAACGATTTAACTCTATAATCCCCATTATGATTCGGAAGAAATTTACATTCGGTTGGGAAGAGATTAGATCCCAATGGCGAAGGACGGCCCTAAGAAAGGAGTGAAGGGAAAAACGAACCCCGCCCTCAGCAATTGATAAGAGAAGGAAGACGATTGTGCTTTGGTCAACCCTCTCCATATTAAGGGTGCCATATGTCACGAGCGACAGACGGATGTCGTCAGGGATGGAAAAATGGCGTTGAAAGCCAGAGACTCGATCCGCAGAAAGGAGGTCTTCCAAATGCTTTGCCATTTTCGTCAGTCTATGGAATATACTAAATTGAAAATAAACAAGGAAATGGGATTCGAAGTAAAGAGGAAGAGGACTTACAAGAGACGGAGAAGACAATAAAGAAGAACAGAAGTTGTAGAGGTGTATCGGAAGGCAGACCAAGAGCTTCAAGTATTCAAAAACAATATACACGCATTCGAAAAGACGACAAAATTTTAAATCATAATAATAATGAAATAAGTGTACGAAGGAACGGAAAGTTGTAATGATGACCGAAAAGCATGTGCGTTCTGACATTCGCGTTAGAATGAGGTTAACCGCCGAATTTTGGCTTTGATTTTTCAAGTTCGAAACCAAACACGCCAGCTAACTATTGTTAGTGGAGTGTTTGGGGGGCAATTGTAGGAGCCGAGTTTTAGGGGATGTAAAGAGGCCGAATATTGTTCTTAGGCAATCGAGATATATACACTGCATTCAACCCCGTCTTATATAAATTCAGAGGTATCCTAATCAGCCATAGAACCAGGTGAGTGAGGAGCCGAGTAGGGGTTGGTCTGCAACAGAAGAAGCCGAGTAAATAATTGCACGGTGGACTAAAGGTGGGCCCAACCCTGAGGCCCAGAGGAAAATATAAATAGAGGAACATCAACCAAAGAGAGGCATGTGAGAACAAGTATGCTTAACTTAAGATAGAAGTAACCAAGAGAGTAGACACTGACTTATCCGTCAAAATGCTAATTCCGACAACCCCGACCGGAGTGTTCATTCCTTTTTAGGTGACTTGCTGAGGATCTCGAGCGTCCCATTGGATCCAAAGAGTATTTCCAAACCACTTATCCACACCAATCATCACTGAATGTTGTAGAGTAACAAAAATATACACAATGGCCACAATCCAGAAAAAATATATAGTGAATAACCAGAGAAAATTACACAGTGGCCAAAATCCATAGAAAATTCACACAGTGACCAAATCTAGAGAAAATTCACACAGTGGCCATAATCCAGAGAAAATTCACACAATGGCCAAATCCAAAGAAAATTCACACAGTGGCCAAATCTAGAGAAAATACACACAATGGCCAAATCCAAAAAAAAAAATTCGCACAGTGACCAAATCCAGAGAAAATACACATAGTGGCCAAATTCAGAGAAAATTTACACAGTGGCCAAATCTAGAAAAAATTCAAGGGTAATCGCGGAAAATTTTCCACATTACCATGTTGCGCACAACTTGATAACAATGCACGCCAGAATGCTGCATCTGAAGCAAATGGCATTGTCATTGCAATCTTTTCAGCTTCCTCCAATTGCCCTGCTCGACCCATTGTTCCGCTAAACATGTATAATGCTCGAGCAACAGCTCTAACCCATAATCAAATCTCATCCTGCTCAACCATTGTTCAATCTCCCTAACCAAACCCGCATTGTAAAAAGCTAAAAGAATTGTAAAAAAGCTATATTCATCCGAGACAAGCCTTCTAGCCCCCATCAAACCAAAAAGCTCCAACACCGAATTCCAATCCCCTTCCTGTGCATAACTCACCATCATTGCATTCCACCGGATAATACTCATCTTCGACACAAGCTCATCAAACACCCCATATGCTTCTGATACCAAACCACACTTCCTATACCCATCAACCAACGCAATCTCCACAACCATACCCAAATCGAGCCCAATAACAACCGCATGACCGTGAATTATCCTACATTGCTCCAAAACAACAAGCTCCGCCGCTGCATGAAGTGCTTCCAATACACTATACATTATAGACCCAATAACACAACTTCTCATGTTAGCAAAGCAAGATAAAGCCTCAAATGACCTCGAATTTTGCACTAACCCAAAAATTATAGACCCGTAACAAACTTGGTCTCTGTGAGGAATTTTGTCAAGCACTTCACTAGCATCATCTGGACGTCAGGTTTTGGAATAGAAATTGATAAGTGAAAGGCAGTGAAGGGTTGGGCAGATAGAGAGAGCTTGAGAGAGAAAGAGTATGGAGTTGAAGGCCAAAAGAGAGAGAATGAAGGGAAGAGCAAGGCTTGAAGAGGGTGGCAAGAGTGCGGTGGTTAGGGTGGATGGGTGGGTAGGTGGGATAGCAGAGCATGGAGACAAAGTAGCAGAGAAAGAGGAAGGAGTTAGAGAGGGCGAAAATGAGGGTGGTCCAGGAGACGATATTGGGAGAGGGGATTCGTAGATCAGAGTTTGATGTTCTTCTTATTCAGCTGCCATTGTTGAAGCTTAGTAGTGACACACAGTGCAGACAGACAGACAGAGAGGTGTAAAAGACATGATCAATCTACATCATCATGTTCTACGAAAATCTCCATTACAACCTAAAATAACATTGATGGACTTTAAACATCAAAAAATATTATTGTAGACCTCTCCTCCTACCAAAAGTTGGGTAGGGATCTTAGATCAATTTTTCCCTTTTTATAATCCTTATAAAGAAACACCTTTTACATGGAAACACATATTTCATATTTGAGTAAGACAACTAAAATTAGCTAAAAATCAAGAAGCAATTGTAGTTTGCAACAAGTGAAAGACCGAGAGGAGACCTATAAAATTCAACAAATACGTCCTAAGAAATTTATACACCTCACAAATTATAAGCGGTATCCACTTCCACTCCCAATTCAACTCTATTCTTCTCATTAATCTTGTCTGCCTCCAACCCTTTCTTTTGTAGCTCTTCCACTTCCACCCCTTCGTTTCCCTTTATTGCCACACACCCCTATTTATCTCTTTTCAATAGTGTCATCCGCTTTGCCCCTTTCTTTCCACAATGCCACCACCTCAACCCCTTTTTTCCCCTCCAGAGGTGCCTGTTGTTATTGATTGGATCTGATTCACTAAAATCAACAATAGCTACTAATGAAAACAAATGAATGAGTTGAAAATTTGGATTGAAGACTTCAACCGAGCTACTCCATGGTAGGGTGGTTGATTTTCAGATCTTGTTGGTGGCTATCAAATGCTGTTGGTGGCTTGTTAACAGTTATGAAGACTTTGGTTCTCCCATTGCATCTATAAATGGGTAGTATATAGAAGAGATTCAAGCATAGTAATCAGAATAAATCAGAATGTAAGCAACAAAGTGTGAGTGTGAGTGTGAGTGTGAGTATTGTCTCATTTTTCTCCATTATTGTAATATTGTAATTTCTCTTTACATAGTAAACTCTGTTGCCCGTGAACATAAACACATTGTCAAACCACGTAAACTTTATATTTCTCTTTTTTTGTGTATGTTTGGTGTTCATTTTGGTCTCTTAGGCACAACACCTGTCCTTCCCTCTTATACCGAATTAGTTAGCATTTTCGATAGCTTAGTTGATATTTATAAAATTTTAATTCATCAAAAAAATATTTTTTATACCATATATTATAGGGAACAACTAATTTGATAGTTCCTTCTAGTTTTCATAAATAATGATTATTTATTATTATAAGTTTTCTTCACAATCTAGAGATTTTTTATATAATTTTTAATGCAATAATCTGCAATAATGGTTTAAAATAGTTTACACTCTTAAATTATCCTTAAAACATTAAATTATTGTGTTTATTAGAATTTGATCTATTTTGAGAAAAAAAATTAAAAGTTGATTTTTTATTTTATTTTTTTAATCTTGTTTTTACTTTTTTGAAAAAATGCACACAAAAAATAATAATAATAATAAAGAGATGATTTGATTGAAAAAGAATAAAAAAAAATTAAAAATTAATTTTTAATCAACTTTCTAAAATAAACCTCTATATCACTCTTAAACTAAATAGGGCCGGCCCTAGGCATAGGCCCACAAGGTCATAGCCTAGGACCCCTCAAAATAAACTCAAAAAAGGGGTCCCTTCCTATTATAATTTAGTATAATATATTAGGTATATTTTAAGTTTAAAAAAAATTTAAAAATGCCCAAACTAACTTAAATAGACCCAAAAAAGGGGCTTTTTCTATTATAGTTTAGTGTAATATATAAAGTATATTTTAAGTCCAAAAAAAATTAAGGAATGCCCAAATTAACTTAAAATAAATTGATCTATTAAAAAATTAAAAGGCTCATTCAAAAAAATTAACATTGTTATTCATTAAAAATAGATCCAAAAAATGGGTCTCCCCTACTATAGTTTAGTATAATATATTAAGTATATTTTAAGTCTAAAAAAAAATTAAGAAAAGCCTATATTAACTTAAAATAAATTGATCCATTAAAAAATTAAAAAATCCATTTAAAATAATTAACATTGTCATCCATTGAAAATGATTTTGTAAAAAAAATTAAATTAAATTATGCAAGTATTATTGATTTATTTGTTTTTAAAAATATAAAAAGAGCGAGGATCAAGCGATACTTATTAGTTGTTGTAATATAATGCGAAGTATTTTTTATGATTTTGATACAAATCTTTTATCCTTTGCTTTTATTTTTATTTTTTTTCATTCAATAAAAAAATAAATATGAAAGACTCCAAAAATTTATTAATTGATTATCGACTTACCTCAGAATCCTCAGGACCAGACCTGAAAAATGACGCTTTTGTGCAAGCGAAAGGTTACAAACCCAGGTCTAGTCATCAACTAATCTGACTATCAAAGCTTCATTTGACACCAGCTAATAAATCCATTTCTTGACTAAAAAAAAAAATTAATTTTATTAAATAAAATTTTTAAAAAATAGATCATCTAGCATACTCAATTCTCCCCCTCCCCCAAAAAATAAATAAATAAATAAAAATTTAGCTATTTAAAAATCAACTAATTTTTTTAAAAATTATTATGAATATGTCAAATGAATTAATGTTTACAATTTTTATTAGATTATTTTTAATCGATAAATTAGTTTTTTTTTTTTTTTTTTTTTGTACAAATTCCAAATCGAAATCTTACATTGTGCCCAAAAAGAATTAAATAAAAAATATTTTTAAAAAATCTAGTCCCAATCGAAACCAGTGAATGGATAACCGGGACGCCAAAAGGAGTAGTAGGCGGCGGCGGCGGTAGCGATAGAGTGACGATGCCGATGGTGGGCGTTAACGTTCTTAAAGGCGGCAGCTTTCTCTTCTTCCGAAGTTACGGCGGCGGTGGTCGCCGCCCACTGCTAAACAACGGGGTTGGTAGCTGGAAAATCGGTGGTCGCCCTCTTTCACTATCTCTTCCTTTTCCCAATTCCCTTCCCAAAATTAATAACAGAAGATTTTTCTGCACCACATTTCAGAATGGTGTAGATTCTTCTTCTTCGTCATCTCTCTCAGAAACACCATCATCTTCTCCCTCTTCATCCACAGTGGTTGGTGATGGTGGTGGTGATGAAGAGAAAGATGAGATAAAGAATGCAGCCAACACGCTCGACATAAGGGTTGGGCGAATCGTAAGAGCTTGGCGACATGAGGAAGCCGATTCCCTCTATGTTGAAGAGGTCGATATCGGCGAGCCCCAACCCAGAATCATTTGCAGTGGCCTTGTCAAGTATATTCCTCTTGATCTTCTTCAGGTATCTATCTTTTTGTCCCCTCTTTTTTTCTCTGCCACAAAGGAATGTTAAACCCTTTTAGCCCTGTTTGATTGTCTGGATTTTATACAATGGGTTGGGGAGAAAAAAAAAAAACTTGGGTAAAATTGAGCGAGATGAATCAACTTTTTTTTTCTTGTCAAGACTAGAGGATTTAGATGGATTCAAACCATTGTTTGACTATAAGTGAAATGAGAATCTAGTTCTTGAAATTGTAACGGCATAGTGATTGATAGTGATGTTTGTTTAAAATTTCTTGAGCTTTGTGATTTCTTATCCCTTAAACTACAAACACATCATCCATGTCGGAAACATCAATTTTATGCTTTACACAAAAAGATGAAACATTACCAACCAAGTAAATAGGTCCACCCACTCTCCCTCGTCATTTGGAGTTGTCTTTTAAAAACTTGAACCGAAGTTATGGCATTAACAATATCTTGATTTTTAATTTGTGGTGTTTGTGATATATTCTCTCATCAAATGAAGATTGAATATAAATTCAAAAGATTTCATTCAGTGCAACAATACATTGGCTGCTGCTCGTAGTTATGAATTTGATCAATCTTAAATCATTTCAAGCACATCAATCACTATTGAGAAGCCCTACCAGAGGCTGGGGGTTGCAGGTGGGTGGCTGAAGAGGGGGAGGGGGTTGTAAGTGAGTTGCAGGTGAGAGCGGCGGGGTGGCAGGGTGGGGGGAGGAGAGGGTTTGGGGGTGGCAAGGGCAGCAAGGCCAGTGGGCAGTGGAGAAGGTAGAGGATAGGAGTGACGGCGGACAGTAAGGGGTTGTTAGTGATGGTTGACAGTGAGGAGTGGGGGATGGGTGTAGAGAAATTTGGTGTCTGAAATTTTTGGGTTTCAGTACTTAATATTAATTCTATGATCATGTGATAATCAAAACACTATGTTTATTAACATGCAGGACAAGAAGGTAGTTGTCTTTGCTAATCTGAAGCCAAGGAATATGCGTGGCATCAAATCATTTGGGATGCTTATGGCTGCTTCTGATGCATCACATGAGAATGTTGAACTTCTTGTGCCTCCCGAGGGTTCACTACCTGGTGACAGGATATGGTTTGGCTGTGCGGATGAAAAAGAGAACCTGCCTGATGCTGCCTCACCAAACCAGGTAGTGCTTTAGAGAAGAATTCATATCTGACTACTCAACAAAACCCAAAAGAAAAGAAAATGATGAAGATAAATAGAAAGTATTTTCATGCTCGTCCTATTAAATAAAGTGCTGTGCATTGACATGTTATTTTGCCCAGCTAACAAAAATGATATTTTTTTCAGAAGGGTAGTTTATGGTTTTCATTTTAATTACATGCATACTGTATATAAAAAGATTCACAATTTAGTTCTCTTCGATTTAGGAAAAAAGTGTACAGTTTTGTTTATTTGGCACATTTAACGTGCTATTGTTATGTTTGGTATTAGCCTACTTGAGGTTTTTGTGTCTGCTATGACAGTTTTTGTTGGGTACGACAATTTGGGTTTTATTTGGTAATCGCGCAGCTTATATCAGAACTCTTGAGTATGGAAATGGGTGTGTTAATATTTTGTGCAAATTTTCTTGTGGCTTTATTCCACTTGTTTCTCTTTGCAATCAAATCTTGCCTTTGAGAACTTTTACTACATATGGAAACCTCCCTGTTGCAATTAGACATTTAGTTTTAAGTTCCTGCAATGTATGCTATTGCAACTTTCTATCTCGCCTTTTATATAATTGTCATGCTACTCGTCCGAGTAGTTGCTATATTAGTTAGATTTATGTACCTAGATAGAGAGTGATTAAAAGTTGAATAATAAAATGTTCATGATGGATAAGTAGAAGCTGAGAGATGATGTGAGAAGCCAAAGGCAGGGATATTATACATTTTTCTGTATTGCCTTAGTGATACAACCCCATCAGGCTGTGTTTTAGGATTCTTTTGGCTTTTTATCAGTGATGAAAAAGAGTATTGGCTTCACTTTCCCTTTGTTATCTATCCATTCTGTATTTCTTGTTTTGTTTTGGTGTTCATTTTTTTTTTTTTTTTTTTTGGTCATCTTGAATCTTAATTGATGTCTCATGGACTTCATTTATCTGTATTACAACTTCTTGTTTTAAAGACCAAAACCAAAGGACAGAAGAGTAGCCATCAACTAAGATTTGATTGATGCTTTCTTTAACTCCTTTTAATACTAACTAATTGTTTTATACTTTTTGCTTAAAAGAATTTATGACTAGAAGCAGTTTTGTTAAACCACTTTTTGAAATGATTAAGTAAAAGAACTTCTAATAGTTAAAGAGATGGGCAGATAAGCTTAAAATATCGTGTGTGGTCAGAATTGGACTACAAAAAATCAGTCCTCTTTTGTTGAAATGCTCTCTTGTAAATAGGAAGGCTTACATTTATTTAGTATGCTTGTATAATATATAGGGGTGCAACTCGGGCGGGTTTAGTCGGGTTGGGAAGTTGTCCAAGTCCAGCTCAAGTTGTACTGAGATCTGCCCAGGCCCGAATTGTAACCCGAGGTTGTTGTCCAAGCCCGACCCGAGTTAAACCCGAATTGTCCAAGTTGCCCGAATTGTCCGAATTATATATATATATATATATATAAATTATTAGCCATTACATGATATTAAAGTAATTTAGATTATTAAATCATATTAAATATATATTATATATATAAATAACATAAAATCTTACTTTTTTTATTTTTTATTCACTCATAAATTGTAAAGACTACTATAACGGCATCTTTCTTACATTATATAATTTATTTGTTTTGATGGTATTAATGATTTTCTATACATATTAAAAAAATATAAATAGAGTCAAATTTTAATAATTTAATAATATATATATATATATATATATATATATTTAATATTTTTATATATCTATATATGTATAATTCGGGATTCGAGTTGCTCGGGCTCTTTGATGTCTTTGCCCAAGCCCGTCTAAATTTAATTCGGGCTTCTAAATTTTTGCCCAAACTCGTATCGAATTTGAAAATATCTTGTCCAAGCCCTAAAAAAATTCGGGCTAGGTTCGAGTTGTTCGGGTTGAGCCCGCCCAAAATGCACCCCTAATAATATATATGGATGTGATTGCATTTGTATATGATTAGTACGTTACAGTTTTTGTTCAATTGTTTTCGTGTGTTCAATAAAACCTAAATTTGATGAATTTTTGGGGAAAGGGTACTGTGTTACATTATGACGTTTTATTTGGCATTGTATTTTATGTTTTGGTTGTCTTTTTTCTCCCCTTGCTTTTTGCTTATTTTTACTCAATTTGATTTTGGTAATACATGCAGATTCAGAAGAAAAAGATCTGGGAATTAGTGCAGCCTCACCTGAAGACTGATGCTTCTTGTGTTGCTGCACTTGGAGGGCAGCATTTCATGCGAACATCAGCAGGTCTGGTGGTATGCACATCTCTACAAAATGCAAACGTATCGTGATATCAAACTGGGAAATTCATCAAATATGACTTTTGAACCTATTCATCCAACACATCTTAAGTTTTTTTTTTTTTTTTTTTTTTTTTTTTTTGAGCCAATGTGTGGAATGTTATGTTTAAGGATCAAGATTTATGAGATGGAATGGAATGGAATGGAATGGAATGGAATGGAATCTTTGAGCCAATTTGTTTAGTTGTTTTCAATTCAATAAGCAAATGAGATTTCTACTCGAGCTAGTCCTAGTAGTTTAGCTACTTATGTAAGCAAATGAGATTTCTACTCGAGCTAGTCCTAGTAGTTTAGCTACTTATGTTTGCTAACAGCAGTAGACTGAGGTGTAAATTAAAACATGGAATGATCGATATGGTTTTTGGTTATTGCGATTATTATCACTTCTTTGTTTAGTTGAAAATGTGTGTTCATAAAATGTTTACCATGAGAATGTGTATGGAGTTGCATGTGTAACTGTCGTGTAAAAGGGATGCACAATTGATTCTATGGAGATGAATGTATGTTTTTAAGTGGAAGAATATTATGATTGATGTTAACTAAACTGTAGTGAAGACTAGCACCCAAAAACAAAAACAAAAAAAACTATTGACTTGCTTGGGTTAAGTGCGACAATAAAGATTTAAATCTTGGGACTCCTTTTGCAGTTTTGGATATTACACGATGTAGTCGTGGGACTATGTCCTAAGTCTCGATTATAAGCTATGATTCTCCTTAGGAGTTAATCTCTGCTTCAAAGTTTCTTCCCTGATTCCTCGAATATTGACATGATCTTTGCTATAAAAATGAGAGTTGGATTTTGGAGTAGATCACATCACAGGATTAGTAAGTTCTTTCAAAAGGCCTTGAAAGAACTAAAGCTGGCTAAGACTTCCATAGACCCGATCCCAATAAAACTACATAGCAGATCTCACAACAATTGCTCAAATTACAGTTTACATAATGAGTAATAATACATCCCTTTAATTTTAAAACTCTAATTGATCTTTAATGATGTGACAGGAAATAAAATAAATAAAAACAAGACTAAAACATCACATCACACTGAGATTCACTCGTATTAGAGCTCATTAGAACTTTAATATCTTTTATTAGAGGCCCTAATCATTTTTCTCAAAATAATGTTGTCCTAACTTCTTATCCATTTATTTTTTATATACTTTTAGAAGGCAACATTATAAGTTGTTACCAAAATTGCCCCACACAAGCTAACTAGTTATACAACTCAGCCAACAGAAGACATATTAAAAGCAAAAATATAGATATCCCTGAGCCAATTTTGCAAGGAAGAACACGAGAAATTTTCTCAAGAAAAAATTTTAACAGAAAAACTAGAAACAAAAGGATAAAAAATTTTGATCTAAAATTTGACATTGCTGCTGCCTTTGACTCGGGCACCTGCCAGATTTCCAAGTATCACAACATTCACACAAACCAAAACATCAAGTTGTATGAACATTTGATAAGATGGTCAAAAAGGATCCTTCCTACAATTACATTTTAAATGCTGAAAAAGTCTATTAAAAAAGAAGAATAATGGTTCTTATCCATCAACAAAATTGCGTCTCAAATTCCTTATTCCAACATATATATATGTATGTCTATATATATATATGAAAAATACATTTAGTACAACAACATTCCTCTAAACCTAATTCAAGCCAGAACTTCATGTCATGACAGACGGCCAAGCACGGGCTATACAAGAATTTGCTGAAACTAACCTGCAACACAACAAACAAGATTAAAATACCTGACATATTTGCCCTTTGGCTCGACTACTTTTAAGGATCAACAAGAAATAGTGACATACCACAAAAAACATGTTACAGTTGCAGAAAAACCACTGCGGCAATCTTTCATCCAACAATATCCTTCAACCAAAACATGATTGCAGAAGGAAACATAAATAAAATCAGCAAATACACCACATTTTACATATTTGAATGTCAGTATGGCGATATTACACAACAAAGAATGATGAACATCAAGTTATACTAGTAAGAAATTGGACCTACCCAACAACCATATCATAAAGTACAGAACTCCCAATCTTCTCTTGACATGTCAAGAAATTCAAGACCACCATCTTCAAACATGATCTGTGAAAACAAGCACATAACATTATTGACAAAAAAATAATTTTCCAGATGAAGAAAACAGAACCTTTCCCTTACCAAGTGTTTTCTGGTATTCTTATCAAACCGTTTAATAATCCCAAAGGACCTGGAATATGCAAAGTATGCATTGTAAGAATTTAGCACCCATATAATAAAGAAAACAATACAGAAGTTCGCTTCATTATTGAAGCACTGCCTCAAATGAGTTCAAACAGTTAAAAGAAATAGCACCAGAACACCTTCAAAATTGAAAGCCTCTTTCTAGTAAAACATCCAAATTCTAAGGAAATCATGATTAAGGTGTTAGAAGTTAGGGGCAACTATTTTGCTCCTTTTAGCTATATATAAAAACAGGATGCAGCCCGTCATTTGAAAGACAAAAGTGTCACAACCTTCTATTTCCAAACGTTAATTTTTACCGTTTCAATGAGTTCTTCCATATCTTTTGAAAGGCAAAAAAAGTGTAAACTCCTCCACACATTTGTTATAATTTTCAAACTCAGACATAGGTTTTAAAACTTCAATGTATTACTGGCGGTTACCCACAATCAACTTCAATTTGATTTGGGAATGCAAAAGTGCTTTTCTTTCTTTTTTTTATTCTGTCTCTCTTTGTGAGATCGTATACAAATAATTAAGGCTACAATCCAACCACAAGCCACCACTCAAATCATCTAATCTCCACTAGAATGTAAAATACTAAAATCACCAACTTCACCCCTTCCCTTAGGGCTAGTACATATATATGTATAAAAAAGCTAACTAACTGGAGTCTCTCAAATCCCTACACTGCAATGAATTAAACCACAAACCTTGTATCCCAGTGGTATTATCTAACTGTACATGCATATATATATACATACAAATGCTGATATACCAAAGAATAAAAGAGAAAGAAATGAATTAACAGCAAAGATACAATACAACAAATGGTAAGAAACAAAATCAACCCGTCATCCTCATATTGGTTTATGAAAAGACAAGGAAAAGGCATAACGAACACTCAAATCAGTTGTTTCCAAAAGTTCTATAAATACTAGCGTGAAAGGATAAAGAAAAAAAAAATGAATTAAATTGTCTACGAAGCCATGAACTACAAATGGGAAAAGATTCTGAGCTTCCTTTGGAATTGATCCTCAAAAGTCAATTGAAAAGGCTACCTCAAGTGTAAGAAAATTATTGGCATAAAATAGAACACTTGAATGAAAGGAAAGGAATATGCATTTAGGATTACCTCTTATCCATGGGGCGAGCTATTCTAATAACTTCACCAATGCAATTATGAAGGCCTCTCGTCCGAGTAGGATCATACCTCGAACTTCCTAAGCAGGGGGTTAAAAAAGGAGTGACATCAATTTAGAGAATTTCAGCCTAAATATAAATTAGCATAAAATCAAATATTAAAAATAATAATAATTGTCAAACTAGAGAATTTGCTTACCTATATGCAGAACTCCATTGCGATAAACCTTTCCAAACAAATAATGCCTCCAATTAGTCCACATTTTGCACCCAAAAAAATAATTAAAAAGAAAAAGAACAAGAAAATAAAACAAAACAAGGTTAACAAGGCTACAGAGCTTATACAAGTGGCAGAAATGAGATAGCTCAACTAGAAAATCATAGTTATTAGAGAGAAGAGCAAAAAAGGGTTATGGAAACACTAATTCCCTAGGGATTTGCATTTTGAAACGTACATTTTAAATCACAGTTAACTTTCATTCCCAAACAAGAGATCTAAAGTGATCCTATTCATTTAATCCCATTTATCTCATTGATGATTTCCTTCTAAGAAAATACATCAAATACAACCAATTGAGAACTTGGAGGGGTTTTGGCCAAAAAAAAACAGATTTAAAAAGGCATTTAAAATGATAGATTTGTGTTCTTACATGATTAATTTGAAAAATGATAGACAAATGTCTAATTGTTGAAAGAAAACAGTCCTCACATTTAAAAGTGCCTTGATAAATATCTAGAGCATGTATTGTACCATGTTCCCTGTTCCACCAGCCAAAACAATCCACATTCCAAGAAACATTCAGCAAGAATGACGGGAAAAAACAGAGAGCTATTATCTAGTAATGCATAAACAAGTCAATATGAATGAAGTATGTGTCCCCTCACAGAATTAACAAAACTGAAGAACAACCAGTCCCAGCTAGCCCCTCTATGGATACTTTCCAAGTAGATATATTTGAAAATGATTATTGATAATTTATACACAAATACAAACTTCTCAGAATAATTCGAGGAATGCATACAAAGTGGAAGATGTCATCATATGCCAACAAATTTTTTTTTTCAGCTCATCGTGTACCAACAGTCATACTCAACAATAATAGTCAAACACCATACATACATCTTTGCCAGATAGAATTGCTTTCACTTTGGGAGATGATACAGCCACTTGACATGCAACAATTTTCAATGCAGCATCCGACGAAGGCACCTTAGGCTTGCTAGGCTTAACCCCCAGCGTTTGCCTGCAGCCTGCAGCACCACAATAGCAATCTTGATCTGCACCAAATTGAACAAACCTGCCAAATTTATTAGGTTGGCTTCAGCAGATAAAGATTTCTGAAAATAAATATTCTGGTGGTAGCTAATATGTTAGCATATGCATAAAACCATGCTGCAGTGCAAAATAAAGAAGTGTGAACACATCATCTAATGCATGCATGAAGAGAAAGAATCAGCTCATACTGATAATCATAGGTCAGATTCTCGCCCATTTTTATGTCCCGTGTTGCAAAAATGCCAATCCTTGTTTCACCGTCAATTATCCTAACATAGAAATTTGTGCAAGACTTTAATAATAACCACTATAAATATGAATCAGCAATAAGGATCAGTAAAGAACCATTACCATTTCTGCATTTCAGTATTTGGACAACAACTATGATTTATATATCTTGATTTGTTTCCTTTGTATGTGGCATCAATCACCATATCCCGGTTAATTTCACATAGATAAAAATTTGTTTCTCCACGGTGTTTCATTTTCCAAAGCCTTTCCTCACATGTTTTGTCATCAATAACTGCATCGAAGAAACACAATTCATCACAAAATTCCACAGGAAATAATCTACAAAATAAAGATAATAATTCTGATAGAAAAAAAACACACTTCCAAGAATGTAAGAAAGAATATCACCTTCTCCCACGTATTCTATTACAAACTCTCCTCGCTTAATATCTTCATCTGCCACAATCCCTGATCCACATTTCTCGGTCTACAACCAATGCATCAACTTAACACGACATTCAAACAGATAAACATAACAATAAACAACCACAAAAAACCACATGATGCCTAAATAAATTCAAAGCATTTGTCTAAAATGAAATAGACCAATGAAAATGGACAACAGTAGTTATAGAGCCATTTGAGAGAAATAGCTTAAGCTTTTGGGACAATTGATGACCTAACACAAAATCAGAGCTTTGATTTCTAGGAGGTCATGCGTTCAAGTCTCTCCATTTGCATTTCGTCACTCCATTTGGTATGTTTGCTTGTTTGAATTATGTTTCTCTCTCCACATGCAAGACGGAAGTGCAAATGAAGGAGGGTGTTAGATAGTTTGATATACAATTTGGTCTAGCTCCAAATAGCTTAAGTTTTTGACCCAGTAGGTGATCTAGCAATATGAACTTGATAGGTACATACAAAATGATGTTGCATGCCATATGCAATTCAAAGAAGTTGAACTAGAGATTAATTCTAAGCTAGTTTTTGAGAGAGAGACTCTAAAACACAGATTGTAAGTTAAGCAACATCACAACATCACAGTAAGACAAGTAGAAGATGAAATAAAATCCAAGTATAAAATTGATTGCCAAGAGAAACCTAAAAGTGACTTTTGCAGTCTCGTGAATCAATTACCCAAATAAGATGGAAAGTGCTTCCAAATGGCAAAGCATTGTCCAAGTTAATTGGAACTATAAAACAACTAGAAAGTTGGTGGTTCCTGGCACAAAAGGTTGGATAATTTATTTATTTTTGAATGTTCGAAAAGAAGAGCTTAGAGAAAGGAGGATGTTAAAACAGATGGCTCACAATTATACTTGACTATCATTATGTTGTCTAATATGCTTCCTCTCATCCATGTTCCATCCACACACATCGTAACAAAATATTTAAACAGAAGTTACCTTCACTAGTTTCATCTTTTTTGGAACCCTATGCTGGAATGGTTTATTGAGACATGAATTCCCACATTTACAGCCTGAAGAGCAGGTTGATAATAGCATTCTGGAGAAAGACAACAATCAGTGGCACCAAAAATTCGCCATGCTAATACAGAAAGTGGTGATCAAATTGATTCAAGCTAAATTTCAACTCAAAAGGCACAGAATGGATAAAGTCATGTCACATCCTTTTCAATTGTTAAGAGAAACAATAGCAGTAATGAACTGAGGGGCATGGATAGTTAGATGACCATAATGATGATGAATAATGTATTTTCTTATTACATTTTCCAATACCTGAAGACACCTTCAGCAGTGTTAAGAAACAAATGATCATGATTTATATCTTTTGTAGATTGGTGTACACATTGAATCTAGAAAACTAATTACAAACCAAATATGAAATATTAGACTTCAATAGATACAAGCCCACATTTGACTAAATTAAAATCTTATCATTCAGCTTAGACAACCTCCACAAAAATAAAAGATAAAAGCACCTCCAATAATTTAATTTTAGGATTCAGTAAACAGTATTTAGTTACTAGAACAGTTTGCTGCAGTAAGCTGCAATAACATAATGTCATAGGTGCAAGTCACTAACCAGCACATCTGATGCATCACCGAAATGTTTTTTGATGTTATGAACAGTATCTTGGTAAGATGTCTCACCAGTCACCACTATACTGCACAAGATGTATGCCAAGTACGTGCAAATCATCATAAAATGCATAAGGCAACTGCCCAGTATGATAGAGTTTGTCATATTTTAACCTTATGATCATCAGATTTGGAAATTGTTACTGAATTTGTACTAGGATCAGGACTTTGCTTTGAATTTAATAGTGTAGATGCTTGTAAGATGTACCTATACTGGGCAGTTTTTTTAACTTACCCAAAAAAAACTGCTCAGTACAGGTACATGTTACAAGCATCTACACTATTAAATTCAAAGCAAAGTCCTGATCCTAGTACAAATTCAGTAACAATTTCCAAATCTGATGATCAGACGGTTAAAATATGACAAACTCTATCAGAAGCAATTTATAACTCAAATTCAAGACATTTTGATACACTGAACTATGACAGTGAATGCAGACTGTCTACTATCTAACCATCACAAATCAGTGAAACTATTTTACAGCTGTACCAAGAGAGAGAGAGAGACTCCTAAAGTTCATCACAAACCACTAAAGTCTGACTTAATACCAAAAAAAAAGAAAAAAGGTAGAGCAAACATGCTTGACTAAAGCCCTTACCCGCAATGGCAATCTCTACCACACACACCAGAAGCCCCACTTGATGAGCTACAGGAACAGAATATACCATCATCCTCCAGACGCCTCTTAATCCTCTTAGTGAGATAGATGTCTAAAATTGGTTAATTTTAACAAAATCACAAACGGAAATAGAGATTTATAAGAACAGTACCATTCAAGACAAATAACAGAAGAAAAACCAAAAGAGGAACATGGATCAACTGTTTTAGCAGATAATAACAGAGTTGGAAACAAGGTCAGAAATGAAAGATTAAGGCATTTGCAATTAGTGAAGAAATGAAACTAATAAGATCAAAGCTAAAGAGCACTATTCAAGAATAAGAGAGAAAAAAGCAAAAACGGAGAGGCGGAGGGAGAAAGCTTGACTAATAAAAATAGTAGCATAACAAAACTTTAAAACTGATTAGCAGGATACTGCGCTTTATGAAGGTATAGCGCATAGGCTTCCATTTATTAAACCAATTTGGAAGTTCAAATTCAACTGGATTCCCAATCTCCTTCAGTAGTATGTTGAATATGTGCCCAATGCTATTGTGCTCAGCCTTCTGATTTACATATAAAACATTAAAAAAATGAATGAGAGAGAGATAGAGAACAATAAGTAAAAGCACTTGCTCAAAATAAGATTATATACAATATAAACCAAACCAAACCAAGCCTTAAAGCCTCATCAAATGAGGTCGGCCACATATCTAAGGCCATATCGTTAGTCAAATTAAGGAGATTCATATCTCTATTTACTACACTACCCCACGTCAATCTAGGTCTACCCCTTCCCCTAACACTTCCATCTACCGTCTATATCGCATCTCTTCATTAGTGCCTCTGTTGGTCTCCATTGTATACGACCAGACCATCTTAATCTATTCTCCCTTAACTTCTCTTCTATCGGTAGTACTTGAATATACTTATTCCTAACTCAGTGAGGACAAAATGAATCAAAGAAAATATCATCAACAGTAATATCTAACAAAATAACATTTTTTTGCCATAAACCCTTAATGTCTTCAATCTTGTCCTCAAATATTCCCACATTCCTTTCCAACCATATTACCCATAACATCGCACAAGCAACACTCTCCCATAGAACTTGAGATTTGCTATCAAGGCCAAACCTTCTAAAATCAATTACTAGCATCTAAACACAAGATGAACGTAACCCCCAATCCATTTTTACTAATAAAAATAAAATCCACCATAAGGCCAACACCAGAGGGCAATGCAAAAACAAATAATCAATGGACTCTTCCTCCATTCTACACATGGCATACCACTAAGAATATAAAAAGCAATTAGGTCTCCTAATCTGAAATGTATCATTGGTATTGAGTTTCTTGTGAGCCACAATCCATACAAATACTTTAAAAGTTCTATTTAGCATACAATAGTCTCAACTAGGGATTAGAAGAAAAAATAAAAATTAAAAAAAAAGGCCACACAACAATTTGAATCAACTAGACCAAACTGTATCAATTGAATTTGGTCAGTTTTCTTACTAGGTCTGGTCAGTTCAGTTTTACTAGATAAAAATTCTTGATTCTGGTTTTTAAATTGTTAGGACCAAAACTAACCGATACTATAGTTTGTTATATCTATCTTTGATCCATACAAAACGGTTTGGCCTGATTCTATCTCTATCATTAATTTTGTACGTCTTCCCAATAAAACAAATCCCAAAGAAACCATAATAAGAACTAATGTTGCTCTCTTCTGGTTCTCACACTTTCCAAAAAAAATTTCTCTTTTCAAAATCTGTAGTCCTATCAGGGTCAATCAAGATTCTCTCTCTCATCTCTTCATTTTCTTTATTCCTTGTTTTATCATTAAATTGTCTTTAATTCTATCTAACACTTCTCTTTCTTCTCACTCTCAATAATTTGTTTCTCTCTCACATGTTCCTCTCATTCTAGTTTTTTTAAATAACTTGATTCCTTTTAATGATAGGCTCCTAGTGCTTTTATTTTTCATATAAGAAATGCAAAGGAGGAGATTTCATAATTCCTACTCCTTTGACCTCTTTTCCTCTCCTCTCTCCCTGCAAATCATAAGCCCTTCTTTTAGTGTTTTGAACTCACAATAGTCGATTTAAAAATTGATCTAGTCTGTTTTTATATGGATCTGGAGCTTTATATCATCTCTTTAGTGTTGTCCAATAACCCACTTAAGTCTTTCTTGCTTTTTTCTATTTCATGCTGGAGATGTCGAGGCTGATAGGAATCTTTCTCTTCATGACATTGCAAATGGTGATGGAGATCGATGACGGGGATCGATGCCAAAGAGCTACGGCAGCAAAAAATGAGGCAAAGCTTCTAATTTTTTGGTGATCAAACTTCAGTAATGGCAGTTTCTATCATCTCTCTTTTTTATGATGCATGCATATATGATGTTCAATCTTAAAATCCTCAATTTTGATCCGTGTTTAAATCGTGATTGGTCTTTTTTTTTCAGTTTTTTTTTCCCTAAAAATATGGTAGACAAACAACTAAAACAAACCAAACCAAACAGGCTCAATAAACCACAGTTTGGTTCAGCCATTCAGTATGTTCAGCTGGCCTCGTTGCATTTGAGCACAAAACTTACAATTTCGTTTCAGTGGGAAATTTCCCCTAAACCCCCAACCAAACCGAACCGATACACTAGTCTCAACTCTTCCAAGATATTGTATGCCTATAAAGTGCAAGAGTGCCTATTGAGTACAAGTATGCACCAACATTCCATCAATACAGTGCCACCAAGTAATTCATAATGTCTGTTCAAGCTCCACATACAAATATGTCCATTAAGTTACACAATCACATGCAAAATTTATTTGACAGTAGACACATTCCCACCAAAGCAAATTGTCAACCCCCCCTCTATGGGATAAATATAACACTAGTTTGCAATTTATAATATTTGTTATGTACATATGCATCTTACCTTGAGCCAACACATAACCCTACCTCTCCAAAAAACAAAAAGAATAAGAAGAAGAAGAAGAAGAAAAAGGAATTGTAGCCATTGTTCCTAGAGACTGTGAGAGAGAAACAAAAAGGGAAAAGTGAATATTGGTGAAACACCCTTTAATGGCCTACCAGTCATCCCTTAAATATAATATTGGCAATATGGTTCAACAAAAATTGAGTGACAGAGACATGATTTATGGCAAAGAGTAGAAACAACCTTCTTAATAGAAGGCATTGTATTGCTGAGGTTCGCAGCTTAAAATAGTGAGCAGTAATTGCCTACACAAGCAACAAAGGAAGTGAGTATTTGGATAGAAAAGCTAAAGCACTACACCAAATGGAATAACACGAAAGATGGCATATCTACTGTTGATAGACAAGATGCAGGACCATCCAAACATTCTCCCCACATGATTTATAAATGAACATTTTCTATAGGTACATTCATAAAGTAACAATGCCAGAGATCACATTAAAGAACAAGTTAACGGAGATTATGTCAGTGTTAAAGGAACAAAAATGTTTTGAATCATATTCGAACTTAATTCCTTCTTAAATTGAGCCAAACCCACATTCACAAATAAACCCTAGTCATAAATTAATGCAAATCATCTGTCAGTTTAAAGCAAAATGTAAATTAACAAAATCACTTGTAAATTTGAATACTAGTTGAGCAAGCACAAACTAAGAACTTCTTAGTTGCTAATAACTTGTGAAAGTCAACCCAAACCAAGCAATGAGCAATATAGTGTATCTAAACATTTGTCACACATTCTTTGAAGAAACTCAACAAAATTAATATTCTGAACATTCATACTGAATATGAGAGGGAAAATGCCACTTCAAAAATCCACAAAAAAAATGGAATTCCGCACTTTAAAAATCCATAAGTAATGGAATTCCTCTAACTGTTTGGTTGTTTAGGGAAAATTAGGAGGAAAAGAAAATTGTAATTCCGAATAAATCTTTACTTGCATTTACCATCTTTGACGATCTATAAAAAAAAATTAAAATTAAAATTAGAAAATTACGAGAAAGATGAAGACAGCGAAAACAAGAAAGAAAGATACGAATTTGACTGTAAGAATTTTCGAAATCTGGTATTTGGAAAGGGATTTTGGGTTTTAAAGAGGTACCTAGGGCTTGGCTTTTCCGGCGAGATTTTGAATCTTGAGTCGTTTCTTTATGCGCTCACGGCGGCTGAAGGAGGCAGAGTGGTGTGGGTGTGGCGGAGGCTTTGTTTTTCCGGCTAGATTTTCAGTTTTTCCGGTGAAATCTTTGGATGTAACACCATTGAAGACATATTGGGGGTGTTGGACGTAAAAATGTAACAGTTACAACAAGATGCACAAGAAGAAACGAGCCAAATGGCATGGTTCCCTATAAACAAATTATTTTAAAACCACAAAAAAATAATAATAATAAATAAACAAATAAATAAAAAGGGTAAATTACACTAACCAACCTCCATTAGGTTTTAAAATAAATACAATAAATTTTATAAATTTGATATAAGTATAATAAAATTTTTTGAAGTTTTAATTTATATAACACTTTTCTTTATTTTCATTAAAAATTCAATAATCGTTTGAATGAAAAAATAATATTGTTATTTCTTTTATAATGAAATATATATTTTATGTTTTCATATTATCTGTATTAATTTTGATCTATTTAATATTACTAGAAATAAAGTTAGTATAATTATATCAAATTTATGAAACTTGTTATATTTTTTCTAAATTTCAAAAGAGGTTAATGTAATTTATCCTTAAAAATATATATATAAATTTTTTACATTTCTCCACTCTTTTTCTAGTTTAGATTTTTTTTTATTTTAAATTTTAAAACAACAAAAATGAATAATTCTAATAGAGAAATAATAGGATGGTAGAAGTTTTCATACAAATGTGCCTACCTAAAATAGGAAATTAAAATTTAAAAAAAAAAAATTGTGAAAAAAATATGAAGCATTGTTGGAGATATTCTAAGAGTTGGTTTGGTAAATATTATTTTAGTAAATTTGTTTTTTTATAAGTGAACCAACCAATTTTTATACTTGGCCAGTTTGATTCAAGGTAATGTCAATTGGTTTCTGTGTGGGTGAAAATCTGACCACACTGTCCGCCTAGTAATCAGCTGGAGAGCACCGGCAGAATAGATGGCTTTAGCAAACTTGTAACAGAAAGAAAAAGGCTCCGGCGGTAGCTCTTCCACCCGGGGGCACTCCGACGATCAAGTCAGTATATCTCTCAAAGATAATCAAGTGCTAAACTCACAAGTTTAAGCATAAAACTGCGTACCTTAGACCCACGGGGGTGCCTCTCTTTTATAGTTTACTCAATCCAAGTCCTACTAGAAGCCTGACTTCTATGGACTCCAATTCAATACTGACTTTGGACTCTTCAAAAGATAAACTCCCTAAGAGTTTTATCCTTATCTTGGCTAAGTCTTCTCTTTTCTCTAGGACTCTTGCCCCTTTATCCATCTATCCGCTTATCTCGGATTCCGATATCTTCGGAGATCACCTCGGTCTCGCCAAAGATAACCTCGGCATAACTACCAAGACACGTGGCACCTCGGCTGACACGTCGGCGTCACCATGCCACGTGTTGGTATTCAGAGCTAACAGAGTTCACAACTGCCCCCTAGGTTCTATTACCTCGGGATTCTGAGGTGATGGAACTTATATCTGTATTTTCTCCAATACCTCGGCGTAAGAACTCTTCGGCCGAGATTGTCAAGCCGATATGTCTTGTTTTCAAGAACAAGAACTCGAATGAACTTTCCCACGCGCATGAGCTGTCATGCATCACTTCTCAACCGTTTCTCTTACGCGTCTTTACCTTATTGGTCCGTGCCTGCAACGCGCTTATTAGCCATCTTAATCTGTCTGCACCGTCTGACGCATGCGCTTTTCCAAGCGCAATAATTGCCTTATTTTGCCGCCGTTTTACGTTTTCAACAAAGACACTTTCTTTTGCTTTTGTCTGTTCACTTTTACATCTAAGTTCTTTTGCTTTTTTCTCTCTTTAAAACTCTTTCTTTCGATTTCGCCATTGCTGAAGCTCCAAGCTTTGTATTTTGTCTTCCTGGTGGAACTCTCGTCGTTCTGCCACATCTGTAACTACCGACTGACTTCGACAGTTCTCACATCGGCTTCGTCCTTTTCGGTAAGCAACTGTTCCTCTCATTCCCAATTTCTTCTATGTGTTTTTGTTTACTTATTGCCATTATTGCTGTGTTCAAACCATTGATTTGCTGAACTATTCATCTGGATGCATTTATCCCATGATTTCACTTATATTTTAAACACTTGCATTGTTTCAACACTTTTCTTGCCACTGTTCTTGACCTTTTACTTCTGTATTTCTTTCATTTCTGAGATCCATACCCCTGTTCTTTGATTCTGAAACGTCGTTTTTTGTTTCTTGTTTTCCAGATTTCTGCCTTTAAATTTTGCTTTCAATCTTTGCCTTCATAGATTTAGGTTTTGGTTTTGTCTATAGAACCTTTAATTTTTAGGGAAAACTGAAACAATCCTTACCAGCATATACCTAGGGTTTCGCCGAGGTCCCGATAACCCCTTAAGAGCACCTTCTTTCTGAAACCTAGCCCTCTGTCTTTAGGCCGACGTTATGGGTATGTGGAGACATAGAGTAGATACCCCGACCAAACTTGAGTACTTTAGGCAAGAGTTCTCTATTCCTGCCGATGTCTATCTGAGGCTGGCTGAAGATAACGACTCCATCATGCCCACAGATGAATCAATGCCCTTTCCCATAGTAGCTTTTACTGAGTGCGGACTTCGGCTCCCACTTAACATTCTCTTTCGTGAAATTCTTCACTTTTACAAGTTGAACCTTATGCAATTTGCCATAAACTCTTATCGAGTGATCAATGGCATCATAGTTTTAGCTAGGCAGGAGAATGCTAGAATCACCCTTGCCGACATCCAGTACTGTTATACCATGTGCCCCCTTAACCTGAAGGAAAAAGGCTTCGTCTATTATCTTAAGCTGAGGTCCACTGAATTCAAAATCGTAGCCGACCTTCCAGACTCCAACAAGGGGGCTGGAGATGACTATGTTATTGCTTCGGAAAATTGGGAGTTTGGCGCAGACGAGGACGCCCATCTCTACCCTCTTCCCCGATCAGTTAAAGAGGGCAAGGGTAAGAGTCCAGCGTCAATATTTTAGTTGTTTCTGTTTAAGTCTTCAATTTTTTATTTGTTTCTAATGTCAGTTTCTTCTTGCAGACGTTCGCAAGCCAACGAAAGATTTTCGCCAATCTTATGTTCCTAGCAAGGACCTGAGAAAGCTCCTGGACTTGCCTGTCCACAAAAGAAAAGCACCTCTTCTTCTAAACTTTATTCCCACATACAAATCCATTCTGCCTGACGTCCCGAAGAAGAAGAAAAAGAGTCTTTCTCCACCTTCTGCCACAAGTCTTCCCACTGTTTCCACATCACGAACAGATCAAGAGTCAACATCTGACCCAACCAATCAACCATCTACCTCGGCCCCATACTTAATCCCAATACCGGAAAGAAAATGTCGGTGACAACTTGTCAAAACTGCTGAGATGGGTCGCCCAAAGCCTGTTGCCCAAGATCTCCTAGCCGACCTCCCAGTTGATGCTGAGGCTGAACCAACCCAATCCATGCCCCCACCAAAGCCAAAAAGAACAAAAAGGGCTCAGCCAAAGGTCAAAGTGACTCAGGTTGAATCTGAGGATACTTTGCCTATTTCCAAACTGGCTGAGAGTAAGAAGACTTCTTCTACTCCTGCAAAAAGGTCTGCTGAAACACAGCCAGCAGAATCTTCAAAGTCAAAGAAAGCGAGGTCGTCCTCTGCAACGGCTTCGGGGTCCAAAAAACCCGACATCCCCTGGGCCCCAAAGATTACTTTGGAGGACAGGCCAATCATGTCTAGTGAAAGCGCCGATGACATTAATGTCGGCGTCGCCCTTAGCACCGCTCTTCTCCTTCCAGGGGACCTGGAGCGAAATGTTGAGTATAGTGAGTATGAGAACTACGCGTTAATGCTCCAGTAAGCACTCCGTTCAAGTAAGTGCTCTTGCTTTGAACTTTTGACTTTCTTTCTGTTTCATACTTAAAATATTTTCCAACACTTCTATTTTCTGTCAGGCCATCCAGCATGCCCATTCATTTTCAATGCAATCTTTTAAGAATCGGGAAAGAATGACCGAGATGAAGAAGGAGTTTTCTGCCCTGCAGAAGACCAACAAAGGTCTTCAACTAAAAATGAAGAAGCTGGAAGAACAGGCCGAGGCTGCAACTAAGACCCAACAGATAGCCGAGGAAAAAGCTGAATCAGCCGAGGCCATAAGGAAGGTTGCTGAAGCCGAGAAGATAGAGGCCGAAGACAGAAAGGCCCAAGCCGAAAAGGAACTGCAGGAGGCCCTGGCCACCAAGGATATCGAAATTAAGGAGGCTGATGAAAAGGCATACGCCCAGGGTATGGCTGACGTTACTGAAGAATACAAACTTCAAGTCAGGCAGGCATGCAACAGGGGCTTCTCCCTTAGTTGGATGTCCCTGATAAAGAAACTTGATCTTTTTGCTGACTCATCCTTCCGCAATGCCGATGCTATCCCTCTTCCCTTCCCACCACCTCCACCTCCAAGTCAACCTGAGGATGATTCTAAATCTGAGGATGAAGATGGAGGTGAGGACGAGGATGAGGCTGAAATTTTGGTAAGGAAACCTAAGGATGCTGCTGGGACCAAATCCCTTCCTTCAAGTTCGCAAATCATGGACTTAACTCAAGATGATGTAGGTGAAGGGGTTGCCAAGGAAACCACTCTAGAGCACGCTTCGTCCGACCTTCCTCAAATTGACAAGAATATTGATGAAACTCTTGTCGAGATTGATGCAGAACTTGCAATGGAGAAGGCGGCCGAAGTAGCTCTTCAAGAATCTGCAGAGGTCCAAACCAAAGTTGCTCGTGAGGCTGAGGAATCACAACTTTGATGTCTCTCTTTTCCTTTTTTTTTTTTTTTTTTTTTTTTTTTTTTTTTTTTTTTTTTTTTTGTTTCCTGGACAATATAAGCTTTTTCACATGGCCGATGTTCCTCCTGTTTTTGTTGAATGATTTAATCTTCAATTTCTCTTAATTGCTTCTGCATGGTTTCTATACTTAGAATATTTTGCATGCTTTACATACTTCTTCCTTCCTTGTGCAATTTTCTCAGGGTTACATACCTCGGGTATAATAACTACAAAACTTTTACTTCGGCAAGATACTGACCTGCAAACTTTTCATAAATTTTAACCAGTATGAAACATATACTACTCGATGTTTAACTTTTACAAACTTTTTCTCAAGTTTCAACAAGTATTTAA